TTCACCCTATCTTGTAGATTATTCTATGTCATACAAAACTACTTCATTCTTTTCATCAGCTGCACAGTATTTCATTAAATAAATAGATCATAATTTGTTTAACAAGATCTCCACTGGTGGACAGTTTATATTGTTTTTTTTCCTCTTATAAGAAATGTTGTGACAAAGATATTCACTATTTTACATATGTAAAAGTTTATCTTTAGGAAAGATTCTAGAAGTGAAATGGTTAGGTCAAAGGGAATGTAAATTTTCAGTTTTGATAGATGTTGTTAATCTATTTTTCACAGAGATTTTACCCCCTAACTAGCAATACATAAGAATGACTGTTTCTATATATCCTTGCCAATAAAATATTAAATTTTTGATTATTTACAACCTGATGTAAAAATGGTATTTCATACTGAATTTTTAAATTATGAGAGAGCTCAGACATCTTTTTATATGTTTATGAATCATTTGATTTTAATTTTCTGTGACCTACTATACTATGTCTTTTACGTATTTTTATATTGTTATTGGTCTTTTTTTCATTAACTTGTCTATGGTATGCATTGCAAACATTTTGCTATTTTATTTAGTTGGTTTACGTCTTTTTTTTTTGCTACACAGTTTTTCTATCATTAAAAGTCATATATCAAGGAAATAAGAGAGGACACAAACAGATGGAAAAACATTCCATGCTCATGGTTAAGAAGAATTAATATTGTGAAAATGGCCATACTGCCCAAACTAATTTATAGATTCAGTGCTATCGCCATCAAGCTACCATTGACCTTCTTCACAGAACTGGAAAAAAACCACTTTAAACTTCATATGGAACCAAAAGAGAGCCTGTATAGCCATGATAATCCTAAGCAAAAAGAACAAAGCTGGAGGCATCGTGCTACCTGACTGCAAACTATATTACAAGGCTACAGTAATCAAAACAGCATGGTACTGGTACCAAAACGGAGATATAGACCAATGGAACAGAACAGAGGCCTGGGAAGAAACATCACACATTTACAACCAACTGATCTTTGACAATCTGACAAAAACAAACAATGAGGAAAGGATTCCCTGTTTAATAAACAGTATTGGGAAAACTGGCTAGCCATATGCAGAAAGCTGAAACTGGACCCCTTCCTTACATCCTACACTAAAATTAACTCCAGATAGATTAAAGATTTAAATATAAAACCTAATGTCATAAAAATCCTAGAAGAAAACCTAGGCAAAACCATTCAGGACATAGGCATAGGCAAGGACTTCATGACTAAAACACCAAAAGCATTGGCGACAAAAGCCAAAATAGACAAATGGAACTTAATTAAACTTAACAGTTTCTGCACAGCAAAAAAAAACAATAATTAGAGTGAACTGGCAACCAACAGAATGGGAAAAATTTTTTGCAATCTACACATCTGACAAAAGCCTAATATCCAGAATCTACAAAGAACTAAAGCAGATCTATAAGAACAAAAACAAACAAACCCATTCAAAAGTGGGCAAAGGATATGAACAGACACTTTTCAAAATAAGCCATTGACAAGGCCAACAAACATGTGAAAAAATGTTCATCATCACTGGCCATAAGAGAAATGCAAATCAAAACCACATCTAGATACCACATCACACCAGTTAGAATAGCGATCATTAAAAAATCTGGAAACAACAGATGCTGGAGAGGATGTGGAGAAAAAGGAATGCTTTTACACTGTTGGTAGGAGTGTAAATTAGTTCAACCATTGTGGAAGACAGTGTGGCAATTCCCCAAGGATCTAGAAAGAGAAATTCCATTTGATCCAGCAATACCATTACTGTGTATATACCAAAAGGATTATAAATCGTTCTATAGACACATGCACATGTATGTTTATTGTGTCACTGTTTACAAAAGCAAAGACCTGGAACCAACCCAAATGCCCATCAATGATAGACTGGACAAAGAAAATGTGGCATATATACACCATGGAATACTATGCAGCCATAACAAACAATGAGTTTGTGTCCGTTGTAGGGACATGGATGAATCTGGAAACCATAATTCTCAGCAAACTGACACAAGAACAGAAAACCAAATACCACATGTTCTCACTCATAGGCAGGTATTGAACAATGAGAACACATAAGCACAGGGAGGGGAATATCATCACACACTGGGGTCTGTTGGGGTGGGCTAAGGGAGGGATAGTGGTGGGGGGTAGTGGGGAGGTTAGGGAGGAATAACATGGGAAGAAATGCCAGATATAGGTGATGGGGTGATGGAGGCAGCAAACCAGCTTGCCATGTATGTACCTATGCAATAATCCTGCATAATCTGCCCAGGTACCCAGAACCTAAAGTACAATTAAGAAAAGAAAGAAAACCCCTGTTACACTAAAAAAAAAATAATAAAAAGTGAAATATACTTAAGAGAATGAAAAGAAAAGCCACAGACTGGGAATAACTCTTTGTAAAACATATCAGATAATGGACTGATATCCAAAAACAAGAACTCAAAAGTCAACCTTAAGAATACAAACAACCCAATCAAAAAATGGGCAAAATATCTGAATCAACATTTTACCAAAGAATATATCCAGCTGGCAAATAAGCATACTACAAGATGTTCAACATCATTTGTCATTAGGGAATTGCAAATTAAAACAGTAAGATACTATAACACACCAATTAGAATGACCAAAATCCAAGACATTGACAACACCAAATGCTGGCCAGGATGTGGAGCAAGAAGACCTCTCATCCACTGCTAGTGGAAATACAAAATGATACAGCCACTTTGGAAGATAGTTTGACATTTTCTTACAAAGCTAAGCATACTCTTTACATACGATCCAACAATTGTGCTCCTTGAATTTTTACCCAACTAATTTGAAACTTATGTCCACCTAAAAACCTGTACATGGATGTTCATAGCAGCTTTACTCATAACTGCCAAAATTCAGATACAAACAAGATGTTCCTTAATAAGTGAATGGATAAGCAAAGTATGCTATATTCATCATGCAACAATACAATTTTTAAAATTGTGATAGTAAGCTATAAAAAGACATGGAGGAAACTTAAATGTATATTGCTAAGTGAACACTCAATCTGAAAAGACTGCATATTGTATGATTCCAACTATATGGCATTCTAGAAAAGGCAAAACTATAGAGACAGTAAAAAGACAAGTGGATGATAGGGGCTCAGGGGGAGAAAAGGAGAGAGGGGTGAATAAGGGAGCACTGGGGATTTTCTAGAGCAGTGAAACCATTATTTGGTATGATACTTTAATGGTGAATATGTTTCATTATACATTTGTCAAAACTCATAGAATATACAACACAAAGACTGAACACTAATGCAAACTATGAAATTTAGTTAATGATAGTGTATTCATTGGCACATGAACTCTAACAAATGTACCATACTAATGCAAGATATTAATAATAGGGAAGTGGTGGAGTGAGAGAGTATATGGAAACTCTGCACTTTCCATTTTTTTCTGTAAACCTAAAACTGCTCCAAAAAGTTTATTAATTTTTTAGAATCAAATGTACAAATCTTTTCTTTTACTGTTTCTATATGCTGTGTCATACATTTAGAATTATAAAAATAAAAATCCTATATTCTCTTCTAGTTTTTTTTGAGGTTTCATCTTTTTGACTTTTAATTAACTTTATTTTTATTTTATTTATTTTATTTTTTAATTTTTCTTTTTAATCTATGAACTCAAGTATCAACCTACAGATCAGTTAATAAAATTTATTTTTTAGGGCTATATCTTCAAACCTTGGCTGTGATAATTTTTCAGAGTTTCCTTACTTTCGATGACTCTAACAGTTTTGCAAATACTGATCAGGTATTTTGTAATATCTCTCTATGAGAATTTTTCTGATATTTATCTCATAATTAGACTAGGGTTATGGGTTTTGGGGAGAAAGATCACATAAGTGCCATCTTTCATATAATATCATATCATATCAAGAGTATATACTGTCAATATGATATAACTATTTATGTTGACCTTGATCATGTAGCCAAGGTAGTATTTGTCAGGTTTCTACACTTTGTAGTTACTTTTACCCTACCCTCACCCTTTCCACGTTGTGTCTTCAATATAGTAAAGAAAGTTACTATACTGAGCCCACACTTAGTAAGTGTGGAGCCATGCTTTTCTTCCTTGAAGGCAAAGTATCTGTAAAAGTCATTTGTAATTCTTCTGCAAAGAAAATTTGTCTCTTTTCCCCCAGTTGTTTACTCATTAAATCATTTATTTATACTGGTAAGGATTCATAGATGTTTATTTTATACTTTGGGCTATCTCATGTTGTTCCAGCTTTGGCTGTCGACTGCCCTTTCAGATGGCTTTGTCTCCCTTTTAACAGACTCCCATCAATGTGGGGTATTTTGTTGTTGTTGTTGTTTTTTTTTTGAGAACTTTCTTACTTTCTGGCCTTACAAGATGCTTGAGGCTTATCATGTATATTTCCTGCCTCAGTCTTATAATCATCCATGTCTCAAAAAATCCTTGGTTCCTTTTACTAGAGAACAGTCTAAGGAACCAAGATCTGGGAACCAGGTATGTTCAATGTTAGTGGAGCATTATTGCCTCTAGGCCCTCTCAGTTGGCAGAGGCAATCAATATATGTGTACAGCTTTATTTTTAACACAAATTTTTGACACAAGTGACATTTATTTTGATGTAATTTTAAGGTAGAAATTCAAATTTAATTTTTTCCCACTGTTTTTAGAGCCTGTATTGAGATTTCAGTTGGCCATTTCTTAGTTGAGTGGCATCAGAAAGTTACTTAACTTCTCTCATTCTTTGTTTCTTCACTAGTGAGGTAGAGTAATAACATCAGTCTTACAAGTCTTTCAGAGCTATAATAAGGATAAAAATGAGATGATAGTCTGGAAAGTTCTATGTGGACTTAAAACACTTTACAAACATATGATGTAATTATTAATTACTGTAGTACTAAAAAGCACTTTTATTAGAATTAGCATTTCTCAGGCAGCAAATAACTAACCTTCTTTAATTGAGACTTCCTTTGCTTGCATCACTTTTAATAAACAGTTAGTCTTTTCCAACTGAATATCCAGTATATTGTTCCTTCCGTTGGTTTCTATCATTTTCTGTCAAAGAAATAATTACATATTATTAACAAATCAATGCTGCTAATTTAATTCTTTATTAAGTAATGAAGACTAATGAAAATACAAACCACTTAATATCTGAAAGTCTAATAACAAAATATGTATATAGTCATGTACTGCATAATGATATTTTGATCAAGAACAGACTGCATATATAATAGTGGTGCCACAAGATTATAATGGAGCTGCCCTATACAGGTGTACCAATTTTAACTTTTATACCATATATTTACTATACTTTTTCTATGTTTAGGTCTACAAATACTTACCATTATGTTATAATTGCTTCCAATATTCAGTACAGTAACATGCTGTATAGGTTTGTAGCCTAGGAGCAATAGGCTATAGCTATACCGTAAAGCCTAAGTGTGTAGTAGGCTACACCATTTAGGTTTATGTAAATATACTCTATAATGTTCACACAATGACAAAATTGCCTAATAATGCATTTCTCAGAACATATCCTTGTCATTGAGCAATATATGACTGTATTTAAAATTAGCCCACTTCCCAATTTATTTTCAAATTAAAAAGTAACATGGTAAAATATTAAAACAGATTATTAGTTATAAATGAAAAGTAAAAATATGACCTAACTTAAACAACTTTCTTTCTAACTACAGTAGAACTACTTTCTTTCCAACTATTCAACTCTCAGTCCCATGGTTAACGATTCCTTATATATGTTTCAAACTATTTTATGACTGTACAGATATAGAAAAAATCATATTATATTCTGTTCTGCACCTTGGCTGTTCCACTTAGTACTATTATCTGGAAGATTTTGTCATGTAAGCACACATAGATCTACCTCATTCTTTTTAACAGCTATATTTGAATTTCATTTTTGAATATGCTGTAATTTATTTAACCAGTCTCTTATTAAGACAGAGAGAGAGAGAAAAAGAGAGGCCATATTCTAATTTTTGTAATGAATAAAGATTCTTAACCATATCTCTTCAATATCTTTGTGAATAGTTATCATAAGCCTCCATATACTCTTCAAACAGCTTCAAAACCAATTCACGAACAGTCTTATGTAATCTATATATCTCTACCCACTACCCTAGTCTCATCACTTTTGAATTGATCTCAAAGCAACTCTCTGACCTTATGTTATTTCATCTGTTAATATTTCCATTCATATGTATCTCCAAGAGATGATTCTTTCAAAATATGGCCACAATACCATCATCCCCTCAAAAATTAACAATTATATCTTATTTAAAATGTTTAAGACTATAACAGATGTTTCCAAATTAATTTCCAAAATCATTGCACTAATTCCTTTCTCACCAAAAAATGCTTCTTATTCCTTTCTCTTCTCTCTATTATGCTAAGAATCACTTGGTTAAGAACACTTAAATTTATTGTTTAAAAAATGCTCATAATGTTACCTTAAAATACCTATGATCATAAAAATTATTTCATTATGACATTTGTGTGTGTGTGTGTGTGTGTGTGTGTGTGTGTGCTGAAGAAAAGAAGAAATAGAAAATAATTATTACAAAAGAAGAGAAAACAGAGATAAGTAGTACTCTCCTTCCCACCCTTGCTTCGCAAAGTCGTTCCCCTTCTTTCATTTAACCACCTACATTTTTCAATAGCTATTGAAGGCAAAGGAGGGAGGAAAACCCCAATATACACTTGTGGGTTTGGTCTACCATTGGTCCAGACTCAGAGAGACAGACTTTAAATCGCTTTGCTTTTAGGCAAAAGAGAAGGAAAAGGGAACAGATAGAATAGGAAATACTAAAAAATGAGCAGCTATAATAACAGATTATGAAATATACATCTACTTCAATGTTTACTAAAACCATTCCTGAGATTATGGACAACCTAGGTTTTCAAGTACAGCAATCCCCCTTTATCCATAGAGAGATAGATTTGATGACCTCCAGTGGATGCCTGAAACCTCAGATAGTACTGAACTCTGTAATGTTTTTACCTCTACAAATTTAACTATGATAAAGTTTAATTTATAAATTAGGCACAGTAAGAGATGAACAATAATAACTAATAATAAAATAGAACAACCATAATATACTGTAATAAAAGGTACATGAATGTGGTCTCTCTGAAATTATCTTATTGTACTGTACTCACTCTTCAGATAACTGAGATGGCTACCAAGTGATTAACAGACAATTGGCCTATACAACATGGATACACTGGTCAAAAGGATAAATCATGTCCTAGGCAGGACTGAGAAAGACAATGAAAGATTTCCTTATGCTACTCAGAATGGTGCAGAATTTAAAATTTATGAATTATTTATTTTGGGACTTTCCCATTTAATATTTTTGGACCGCTGTTGACCTCAGGTGGGTGAAACTATAGAAAGCAAAACCTCAGATAAGAGGGACTACTTTATGTAGTTTCTGTTTAACTTCGGCAAAAGTACATAAATTATTTATTCCCCTGTCCTAGGGACATTTTGATGCATTAGTACAAATAAGTCAAAGCCAGATGTATTTGAAACATGGATTTTTAAAATGAAAGAGAAGAGCGTAGCAAAATATATTATTACCCTGATCATTTTTTGGTACATTTTTCTTTCTTCCCAACTTCTTCCCTTGGCAAAATCTGTTCCATGTTCCCCTATATATTACAACAGTTTTCTATCTTTACATACCTTTTCTATCTGTGAGAAGTCATTTATAAGTTTGTCAAGATTCACACTGCTAATCTTTTTCACACATGCTTCACTGCTTTGGTCCATGCCTGCAAGTAATAAACAGTAGATAGTGTTAAATAAATAAATCTAAAGCACCACAAAAGTGGTCATAGCTCAAACACTAAAGTTTCTGTATTCTACACATAGGGCATCTACTTGGGCTCTATTGCATTCAGAGAATTTCTGTTATAACCAATATTAACAGTGGTCAGGCTCATGCCTATCATTTTAGCACTTTGGGAGGCTGAGGCCGGCAGATCACCTGAGGTTGGGAGTTTGAGACCAGTCTGACCAACATGGAGAAACCCTGTCTCTACTAAAAAAATACAAAATTGGCCAGGTATGGTGGCACATGCCCTGTAATCCCAGCTACTTGGGAGGCTGAGGCAGGAGAATTGCTTGAATCCGGAGGCAGAGGTTGTGGTGAGCTGAGATTGTGTCATTGAACTCCAGCCTGGGCAACAAGAGCGAAACTCCATCTCAGAAAAAACAACAACACACCCACACAACAAAAAACAGTGGTCAAATGCATTGTCTTTTCCAAATCCTTACCTCCCACACTCCAGTTGACTTATTTAGATTTGTTTCTTTAATGCATTAAAATCTAATACAATATTAAATCTGAGGCATGACTTTTAACTGTAATTATTAAGATGTTAAAAATATTTGTTTAACTATCATGTCACAAATATTTTCTGCTGATATGCTTATTTCTTACATTTTGTTTGGTAAACTGCTAAATAAAAGACATATAAAATCAATGTGCTCAAAGCAATCTCTCTGCATTTCTGTTGCCTTGTAATTTTGAATAAGATTAACCTTTGAGGATTGCCAACTAATTGCTAAAGAATAAGAGTTTCAGTTTTAGTCCTATGAAACCAATCTTAAGAAATTCTTCAGAATCCCAGAATGTAAATGCTGGCTACTTTGCAAAAGTCGATTTATCTATTTTGACTAGATGAGTTTACATCGTCAGATGTAATGTAAACAAGTATGAGACATTTGTCTTTAGATTCTTCTCTGGCAAAGAAGAAAGGGAAAACAGAAGTTTGAAGTTCAGCCACGTTAGACTGAGGAAAAAACATGAGCCAATGTATGGTATGTGAAAGTGTTAACTAGTCCAAAGTAAAACGTTAGGTAAAATTCCTCATATAGCTACTCAAAGCAATTTGGAGGCATACTAATGTTTATAAAGAAGTTAGCTAAAACAGGCATTGCTTGACAATGTTACTTCATCAAGATATCTAATTATTTTCTTTTGAAATATTATTTTGCATTAGCAACTATTATCTTATGTATGAAATATGTAAGTACAACTATATATAAAATCTCTTAAATAGTTAAAACTTGATCCTTACAGCAGAAAAATATTTGTAATATCCCCTCACAATACAGCAAAATTCCTTTTGGAGTAAAATTAAAAATAATTGCTATTTGATAGTATTGTTATTCTTTAACAGTGCTGTATGGTACTCTGAAGTTGTTAATGCAAAATCTCTCCACCTCCAACTTCTTTTTTTGGTACCTAACCTTTTACACAAACAAGGTTTTACTAGGGTTGTGTCTCAGAATCTGGCTCTTGAAATAAATGCATTTATATTTGAGCTTTCCTTCCCCCAAATAAGACCCTGTTATTTCCTTATAAAACCATCACTAATATTCTATTTGCTATCATTGCATGATATCCCTTTTGTCATACTGGCAGAGCCAGGAAATTCATTTCTATATATCTTCATTGTCTGATCTTCTGATTTCCCAGGTCAAGGCCCTTTCAGTGAATACCGTCTTGCCTGGTGAGATTAGGTGACAAGCTGGTGATTCAGTCCTTGTCAAATTCCTTCGTAAGCAGCAGAGACTGATTTGTGACTTTCCAGGCTCAGCTTCAACCGTCCCCATAGGCAAATGACAGTCCCATTTCCTTCTCTGTCCTTTTGCCTGCTGGTTTCACCCATCCCCACAGGAGAGTGACAGTCCCGTTTCCTTCCGTGGCCTCCTGTCTGCTGCCTTGAGTCCTGGGGCTCGTCCTCTGCCCGACACCTGCAGTTGGTCCTTCGCCGCTCGCTCGCCTGCCCCACGCTCCGGTCACTTCCTCTTCTCCCCTCCTCACTTCCCCTCAAGAATTCACTCTCAGTCCTGAAGCCTGGGTCCCCTGGCTCCCTCCGCGGCATCCTAGTGTCCTTAGGGACCTAGCAGAAATAAACGAAGGGGGCCGAGGACCCGCAGATGTGAGAGAAGTTTCTGAGACAACAACTTGTGTGGACCCAGAGCACTGTAAGGAGATATGAAGAAAAGCATCTCTACGGAGACAGCGGGAGCTTCGAATGCTTTCTAGTGTCCCTAGAGGCCTAGTAAAAATAAAGGATGCGGGCCGAGGACCCGCGGATGTGAGAGAAGCGGGAATTTCGAAACGTCAATTAAGAGCTTGGAGCATACCTGCCGTGGCCCTCAGTTTCCCGCAGTCTCCCTTGCCTCTCTACCTCCTCGGGGGCCTGGTCCGCCCCTGAATGCTGTCCCCTCCTCCGGAAGCCGGATCCCCTAACAAGGGGCCCGACTTCCTCTGGACCTGCCCTGTGCCCTCTGCTGGTGCTCCCACTACCAGCAGTTCTTACCAACTTGGTCCCAGCTCCCCTCAGCATCTGCTGCTGCTTAGGTATTTTCATATGGTTTCTAGAACATGAATCAACACCAGATCAATAATTGTTTCCCCTATCCAAAGAATAAATCACATTGGGTGCACTGGGTGTTTTGAATTGTGAGTCAACGCCACTGAATAAATAGTAATCCATATATATTCCTGTAACTTATAAAATTGGCTTTTAAAATGCTAGAGCCAGTTAATAGATATGGTTTCCCATTTACAGAGTTCTATTTTGCTAGCTTAGTGATTAAGGGCACGGGCTCTTGTGTGGATTCAGACCACAACTCTTCTCTTTTTCCGTGGGTGATAGTGGGTAAGTTTTTAATTATACACGCCTAAGTGTCTTTATCTGTGTAAGAGATTAATAATAAAGCCTGCCTTGGCCAGGCGCAGTGGCTTATGCCTGTAATTCCAGCACTTTGAGAGGCTGAGCTGGGTGGATCACCTGAGTTTAGGAGTTAGAGACCAACCTGGCCAACATGGCCCCCCGTGCCTGCCGGTCCCCCCACCCCTGCTGCATCTCTGCTACTAAAAATACAAAAATTAGCAGGACATGGTGAAGGGCACCTGTAATCTCAGCCACTTGGGAGGCTGAGGCAGGACAATTGCTGGAATCCAGGAGGCAGAGGTTGCAGTGAGCCAAGATTTTACCATTGCACTCCAGCCCTACCTGACACAGCAAGAACTCAGTCAATAAATAAATAAGTAAATAAATAAATTAATGTCTCAAGGTGGTTGTGATGATTAAACAAAGTGATGCATTTAGAAGGTGCTTAATGGAGATCCTTACTTAAAGTGAGTGTTCAGAAATGTTAATTATTAGAATTTTTGAATGTTGTTCAGTAATAGTTTGAAAATGAATCCACTGCCAACTTTGCTTCATCTGTTTTTTGTTTTTTTTTTTTCTGAGTGGGTGATGGGAGGTTTATTTTTGCTAATGTGATTTTTCTATGGAATCCAAAATTTGGCAAGTGGAAAAACATAAACAGCAATATGATAACCCATACTTTACTAGTTGAAAGGTAGTATAACATACTGGCAAGAAAATTATATTAAAGTAGAAAATGTGGAGTGTAGTCTTCACTCTGCTGCTCAAATAAGCTTTCCCTAACGTTAGTAGCAACACATAGAAATATTAAAAATGACCAGGCCAAATTGCTGGTTCTATCCAATTAGCACATATAAAATGTTTCATGTGACTTAAATGCTAAAATTCTACCTTCTCCATGAGTCATTCACTGATCATATAAATCAGCTGTGACCTACCTTTCCTTTATGGAACACACTAGCCTTCTGCGGCATTTGTTAACACTGTTTTAATTGCTGTATTACCTCTTTTGCTATATTTATTATTGATTACTTAGGGGAATAAACTCTATTTTCTTTAAATATATACATATATATATATATATACACATACATATATGTATGTGTGCATATATAGCTATATATAAATGTGTGTGTGTGTGTGTGTGTGTGTATTAAGGTCCACACAGGCCATCTTTGGCAAAATTCAAGAGTCCTTTGAAAATATGTGGTGATTAGAATGTGTAAGGCAGAGAGGCAGCTCCCTAGATCCCCTGCCTCATCTGTACTTTCAAATCTTCTAGATGTTCCAACATTTGAATACAGAGGCTTTGACTACTTAATGATTTTGGGATGTAGAGACTAAGAAAGTTGGAATGTAATATATATATACATATATATATATATATATACGTATATATATATATGTGTGTGTGTATATATATATACACGTATATATGTGTATATATTTATTCATAGAGCCTAACATATAGAAAATAGAAATGAACCAACACATCAGGAATAAATTATAAAGTTTAGCTTAATTTTTCTAGTTTAGAATTTGTCACAAGTTACTCTTCCAGTTTATAGATGTTAGCATTTTTTAAAAAAAGAATCCTAGTAGGTTCAAAGTATGTCTTTCAATGAGAAACTAAATGAACTTTCCTTTTCATCTTTAAAAAGTGAATGCCTTTCACACTTATATTTACAGTCTTATTCTTCAGGTATCATCCACTGAGAGACAGAATTTATCAAGTATTTGCTCAGAAAATATTCATTTTTGCTCACTACTTGGATGTGGAATCATCTATACACCACATCTTAGCAACATATAGTTTACCCATGTAGCAAACCCTCAAGCTTAAAAGTTGGGAAAAATAAAATATTTATTTTCTGATTGATCAATGATTTATTGAATATATATATTAAAACTGCCCAGAAAACCAAAAGAGAGAAACAAATCACATTATTATGTTATACTAACAAAGAAAGTAACACTGGAATCCATTAAAAATACTCTGATTTGGAAGAGAAACACATATGTACCTAGGCAGTTGAAAACCATCAGAAGCTACAGATTTATGCACATAAAGATCTTTTTTT